AAAGCCTTAATTGAGGAATGGGACCAAAGACCATTATTTTAATGCTGTATGCAATATATAGAGGCAGAAGAGAGTCACTGAAAGCTGCACATTTGATCAGGCAATAAAGCACATATGTGTTCGTTCAGCTGATCTCCATGTTACAACCCCAAACATATTAATTTGCTAGCACATTGCCAATACATACTAGTTCTGGGACATAGATGGCCTGAAAGAACAATTAACTTTTATAAAGCTCTCATCAGGTCTTTTTTCTAAAGGTGATTCTTGCTTTCCACAGACAACATAGTAAATGGCTTTTTAGAAACATGAAGCTTTCCATATGGGCTTTTGTTGTTGTTGTTTCTGCCCCATATTGCTTTGGTTTACTCCCTGATTTCCACCCACATTTTTGTGCCTTTAGCTTTTACTTCTTTTTGTCCCCCCCCCTATTTTTTTCTTCCCGTTTCTTTTGAGATCACATTTACCCCTATATTTTTCTGGAAGTTGATTTTGAGTCACCTTTCCCTCTGTACATAATGTTTCTCTCAGTTTTCTTTGTCCCACCACTCCTATCCACCTCTAGCCCATTTTTAAAAAAATATTGGACTGTGGTGGTCAAACCACTCCCTCTCCCCTGCACACACCCTGAAGAGGAATGATTTATCCCCCCCCTTTTTTTAAAAAAAAGAAGTCTCTAGGAAAAAAGGCATATCTTTGTGAGGGGAAAGACTAGAGACTTACTTTTTAAAATGAAAGCTGGGAATTCAGAGAACTTCCTCAGATTATTGTTACAATGCTCTAATGAAATATCAATATTTTAATACTTTTCAAAAAATGGAAGGGCTGTAACACCATCAATGATGACAGCAGCCTCCCATGAAAATCCTCATTATTCAAGGCAAGTGCAGAAGAAAATAAACTGACTCTACAACTGTGAAAATACAGAGAGAAAACAGATGTGTTGAAGACCCATGCCCAAATTTATTCCAATGCTTGTGGATCAACTAGCAAAAAATCAGGAGTAAATTGAGCATGTGGAAAAGCCCCTGAACATTCATGGTCAAGCATTTGCTTTAATTAGTTTTTAAATCACTGTCTGGTAAAGATCTAGTTACCGCAAAAGAAACTGCATTGTGTGATAGGTAAGTAACAGGATTCCAAAGACTCAGTAAAAAAAAAAAAGAACAGTTCCAGATAAATTAGAGTCTAACCAGAAAAAAGAGATGTATTTCAATATTTAGTGACTCAAGAGCATAAAACCAGACTAAGAAAGCAACAGTTAGCCACCTAAGACTTGTTGATTCTTTAATTTATTATGTACAATGAGGAATTATTCATATATCTCACTAGCAACTTTTGAGCTCGATTTTTGTACTGAGTATCACACACAAAAGCAAGTCACATTATAAAAAGTTGGTTATAATTATGAGATATGTATTATTAGAGAACTTAAGTCACACACCTCTCCAGTTTTCTTATTTAAAAGCCTTAATTGAGGAATGGGACCAAAGACCATTATTTTAATGCTGTATGCAATATATAGAGGCAGAAGAGAGTCACTGAAAGCTGCACATTTGATCAGGCAATAAAGCACATATGTGTTCGTTCAGCTGATCTCCATGTTAGAATAAAGTCTCAACCCTTTATGGGTGGGCACACCACCCACAGTGTACTTGCTAGGATTATGTAAAATGAGCTTGATACCAATGTATTGCCACAACTCCACACACATTGTACAATTAGGAATGGATTATAAATTGAATTGGAAGGAAATGGAAAAATATTCAGTGTTGAGAATGTTGGTAAAAACTGAACTTTGGAGTGAGCAACGAATGAACTACATGGCTGACTTGAAAATAACCTATGGTGGGAAATGTGTGTGTCTGTTAACAGGAAGATCACTGAACTTTGAGAAAAGATTCTTGTCTCTGCTTAGAAGATTGTCTTACAGGTAGCATTGGCTTATATTCTTAGAAATATAATTATAATCTGTTATATTCATTTCATTTATACCCCACCTCTGTTTTAACCTCAGAACAAATCTGTGAGACAAGCTAGGTTGACAGTGGGAGGACTGGCCCAAAGTCATCCAGCAAGCTACCACAGCAGAACAGGGATTCAAATCTGGGTCTCTCATATCCTGGTTAAACTTTCTAACCACTATACCACACTCACACAATTTACAAGTCTCTTCCACAATTCTCCAAGTATAACCCTACAAGATACAGTTTAATAAGAGTGTAAGAGCATGACACAGTATTCACAAACCAAACTTCACAAAGAAATGCATACCACTATGGTGTTTATTTTTTTTGCAAGATTAATACAATTTATTGACATGGTCACAGAATTATCTGTGCAGTTTACAAAAGTCATTGAAAAATGCAGAGAAAGAGAAAGAATATCAAGCTTTTCCTGAAGCATAACAATACAATCAACAAGTGTTGCTTGGAGCAAAGAGATATTTATCTTTTATGTTATTGTCAAGACTGATTATTTTTGAAAATATTCTCAATTTTTATGAATCAACATTATGCACTTTGATGTCTGAAAACGTACATCTTTACTAGGATGAGGAAACAAACTATCTATATACTAATTCCAACAGAGGGTGCCTTGTGCGGATACTTATTTCCACTAACAGGAAGCTCACTCTCCCCCAACAGCTTTTCCAACATAGTCAGTAGACTTCCTGTGTCTGCAGAAAAATCCAAGAAGTAAAAAAAATCCCTTCAGGGAGGGTTGAATTCCCCCCAATACCTTTTGAAATGGCCTCTGCAGGGATCTAACTCCAGGCATCAATGGTGAGAGAGAGATTAGAACGTTCAGGGTGGGTGGGGGGGCTTCTAACTGGCTCTGTCAGTAAAAGGGTGGGGGAAGGGCCCTTTCCTGGCTTCATTTGGCCTCGGAGGGAGGGAAGGAGGGATCCTTGGGGCCAGGCCTGACAAAGGGTTGCCAGTGCCAGCCTGGGGAATCCCTAGAGGTTTTGAGGTTGACTATAAGGAAGGAGGGCTGGGTTTGGGAAAGGGAGAGGCCTCAGCTGGGTATAATGCCACAGAGTCCATCCTCCAAAGCAGCCATTTCCTCCAGGGAGACAGATCTCTGCTGTCTTGAGTTCAGTTGTAATTCTGGGGTGGCGGTCCTCTAGGCCCCACTTGGAGGTTGGCAACCCTAGGCCTGGCTGCAGTTTAGGGTCGCCAGGTCCCCCCCTGGCCGCCGACAGGGG